ATTTTCTGCTGGCTATTATATTCAGTATAATATAATACATGTAAACACCTTAGGGCAAGTTTTATTGTGGAGGTGATAGTCACCCTTAATTTAGTCCATATCATCAACTCACTACTTAAGAGGCAATATATACAACAAATTACCTGTAGCACACTTGCCCCAATACATCATATTAATTTTACTTTATGTTTCCTATCAATTCATTGGTCTCTTTTTCTCATCTCTCTTGGAGTTTGTGTAGATTCATTGGTCTCTTGTTCTCATCTCTCTTGGAGTTTGTGTAGATTCATTGGTCTCTTGTTCTCATCTCTCTTGGAGTTTGTGTAGAGGTTGCTCCTTGCATGAGAGTTGTCTCCTTCTCTCTCCTTTCATATCTCTCATCCACCTCATCGTGGGAGCTTACATGGCACTTAGGGGCAAGTGTGTAGAGGCTTATAGCACTTGCCCTTAGTTAACCTTGTTGCTGGTCATGTAATAAACATCCATGCACTGCATCAATATTGTGCTGTTATCTTTGGTTCTTCAAGTTTGTCCGACATATTCTTTTCCTTGGATAAACCAGGTCCGCAGCATGAAGAGAGCAAGAGATATTCGTGATCAACTGGAGGGACTTCTAGAAAGAGTTGAGATTGAGATTTCTTCAAATGCCAGCGATTTGGATGCTATTAAAAAGGCTATAACATCAGGTGTGTGCTTTCAATTTTCTGTTTGCAAATTTTCTGAAAATATATATTTTTTAACATGAGTGCTCGTGATGTAGGTTTCTTCCATCATTCTTCACGGTTGCAGAAGAATGGTTCATATAGAACTGTTAAGAACCCTCAAACTGTATTTATTCATCCTAGTTCTGGATTAGCACAGGCAAGTTCTTTCGTTTACTGCTCTTGTTTTGTTTTTAATCCTTGATATGATAGCCTTGTGTTTGCAAGTTATAGTTCTAAACTTCTGTATGCTTATTGAGTGCAGGTACTTCCTCGATGGGTAATATACCATGAATTAGTCCTTACAACAAAAGAATATATGCGTCAGGTCTGCACAACTAAATCAGAATTTTGGCAGAACTATAACAATTGCTTAGTTCGTGTGAATGATTGTATATGATATGAACACTGCAGGTAACGGAACTGAAGCCCGACTGGCTGGTAGAAATAGCGCCACACTATTATCAACTAAAAGACGTTGACGACAGTAAGTGTGGATTCTATGTTATTATTTAGTGCAAGCTAATTTATAGGCAGGTTGTGTATCGGCTGTGGGTTACTAAAGCCATTTTTTCCTCTCACAGCTGGGACTAAGAAGCTGCCTAAGGGCCAAGGACGAGCTGCATTGTAACCACCCCCTGTGATCGAAGGTTTTTATCTTAAAAGATTCAGAGCCTAGATGGCATAGAGTGAAAATGTACATAGCTCCTCTTTTAGTTCTTAGGTATTGATCCCTGCCTCATCTCGATTAGCAGTCAATTGTCGATTACGCGGGCATATATTTCGAGAGACGTGCTGGCATGTACACGGCTGTAATTTGTATCAGCTTTGTGTTGATGTAGAGATGTAGATACTGCACAACCTGATGCCTACTAGGACTAAAGTTCTGCATGTTTACCTATGCTTGGAAAATAACGAAGAGGATATGCTGCACCAACCTGTTTCTGCCATTCTGCCGTGTGCCATATGCATACATGAAAATATTTCATACTACCTCTATCCCATTATTAAAGGGCTGTCTGGACAGGATTGTTTAATGACCAGGTTTTCTCAGACTGTATAGAACAGCATGATGTCTGGACAGAAAGACTAGTTGAGCGCGCTACGGGCGCACTGGGCAAAATTAAGTGGGCTTGTAGGTTGCCCACTGGGTTAGCGGCTAGGCCCGCCCTGACTGTACGTTAGCAGGTGTGTGGAGCTGGGCTTGCCTAAGGGTGTGTTTGGTTACTCGTATCTACCTAGTCTGGCCCATCTTTCTCATACAGGATGAGTTGGCCCTGGCTAAGAGGATACACGTGCAGCTGTTTGGTTTTCTGCATCAATCTAACCTGGCTAGTATGAGATACTATTTGGTTATTTGCACGAGAGATATGGTTCGAACGAGATTTTGTTTGGTTGATTGTATGAACTATAGGTAAGAGGATATCTTTTTCTTTAGGGTGATATTACCGCTTGAAGACATGGAATAATTCTACTACTTTAGAGTTTAGTCAACTGAACTTTTTTTCTATATCAATCTTTCTATTGGTAAAACAATTCATCGATTCAACTAATATAGCATACAGTGAATTTTTCTATATTACGGACTAATTACCGGCTGAAGAAAGGTAGAAAAAAGGAAGGGAAAAAACACAGAATCAATCATGGTACCGCCATTGTTTAATCAACCACGGAAGAAGAGGAAAAATAAAAAGAAAACAAGGAGAAAATGTATGGCTTGGTGCCCTAGGTGCGCTGGGCTGGTTAGCTAAGTTGGCTGAGCTAAGGGTTAGGATAGGCAGGCCGGCCGATTAGGCTGGCTGGTTATAAGCACAAGCGAAATGGTATATTTGCAAATGAAAAATAATTTATTAATAAAACTTTTATACATGTATTTTTAACAATCTAAAAGCAAAGGCTGACAAATAAACTACGATGAAAAAAAAAAAATCAAAATCAACTTCAAATCTAAGCTTGAAAATTTAAATTTTGGCTAATAAGTATAAGCATTAGCAAAAAGATGATGCCGTAGTTCTATAAGGTTAGGTCTATAAGGTTAGGGTTTTGGCTCAAGAAGATTTCGAAAATAGTTCAGTAAATCTAAAATATTCTTTTGTAAGGAGCTTAATTTCTAAATATAAATAAAGATTATAGATTAGGGTTTTGTCTTTGCATTTCAAGCGGTTGAAAAGATTTGAAATTTCAATCACCTAAAAAACTGCATCCAAGACTAAAATTACAGCGGTGTGCAATATGCAATATGCAATTTTACCTTTGTCACCTAGAATGTTGTTGTTATATATGGTTCTACTTTATTTTTATCTGAGTTTGAATATTTATTTCATGTTATTTTCTAAGTTTATATGAATTGTAAGTTTCTTTCGTGTAGTTCGGTATTTTTTTTAATTCTTTAGGTTTAAATAGTTTATTACTGATTTTTTTATCTAAGAAAGAGTGAGGAGTGATGAGAAAACTATTAGATTGTCATCCAAGAGAAGAGATAATTGATTGAAATTAATATAGACACTCACTATTTTATATTTGCCACTGGCAAACACAAACAAGGAACCAAGAATATCCAGCATGATGTGATTTTGAAAAATCATTTCTTTTCATTGCTCTAATTTTTTGGTTCTCGAATTTTTTTTATATAATTAGAGAATGTTACAGAGAGTGGATCATGCATAAGCACAGCATGCATGCCATGCATGCGTTGCGGTACCAGTGGTGTTTGGCTAGATGGAGTCCCACTAAGAAATGAAATCTCTCTTTCCGGTCGCAAAGAAATAAAGAACTTTTGTGAGGTGGCCATCTCAATCTTCATTTTGTTTTTCGTAACTGCTTAGATATTAATCACGGTCTTTACTCCGTTTCGACAGTGCTTATATATATAGGCTGCTTGAGCATCTCCAGCAGTAGCCCCTACTTTAGAGCTCCTAAAGATTAAATGGGGGCTGCCACCAATTCTTTAGGACTCTAAAAATATCATTAACTCTAGCAGTAGCCCCTATTTCTTTTTCTCTTTTATTTTAGTATAAATTGTATGTTTGTGTCTACTTTAACACCACAATAATTCAAACATAAATAATTCTAGCGCATGAAATTCAACCATATTGAAATTTAAAATTTTAAACACCATGATTCAAATTTGAATTCAAAATTTTTAACATGAAAATGACATGTCCTACAAGAAAATATTGAACACGACCCATAGTTGACAGAAAATACAACGAAACAAACTACCGAGCACCATGAAGCGCCCACAAATGTTCCATAAGAAAATTTAATTTCCACTATCTCAAATAACAAACTAGACAATTATATTCATAATAATACAGCACGGAGTATATATTTAACACTCAAAGCCTATAAAAAGAAGTGCTACGTACTAACTGATAACTCTACTGATCCATAGCAACGACAGTTCAATGCAGTGCTACTAGTATGTACAGTGCCACAATCCAATGCAGTGCTACTAGTACAAGCACAGTGTTTGAGATTCTTCTCTACCACCGAAGAAGTCTACTACTCCTACAGTTCTAAAAAAAAAAATAAAACAAATCAATGTCCAGCACAAAAAGTGGTCAAGTATAATACTACTACTTCTATGCTAGTAGTACTCCTACCACACAGATTAGTTCAATACAGAAAACTCTACGGGGGCAGAGAGCGGCGAGCAGAGGGCGGTATGTAGGCTGGCTTGGAGCAGTGGCCCTCCGGCAGTGCGTAGGCGGCGGCCCTCCATCCGGTGGGCCAATGGGGCAGCGTGGGGGCGGGTAGCCGTTGGCTCTCCTGCTGGCGAGCGGATAGCGGCATGCGGGCGGACAGCGGTAGGGACGATGGCTCTGCAGCGGGAGGACCATGGCTGTGCGGGGTGGTGTGTGCACAGCAACGTGCAGACCGACGGCGGGAGGTGGTGCGACACCGTGTGGACGGCGGACTCGTGAGGGCGGCGGCCGGAGGCCCTTGCGGATGATGGGTGACAGAGGTAGGGGAAATTCTCACCTTTTTGTGCCAATCTTGCCGGAGGTGTAGGGGAATCGATGGCCGCCGGCGCCGGAGCCTAGATGAGATCCAGCGTCGCGGTGCCGCACAGGAATGTGACGAGAGCGCGAAAGTGAATTGTCGTTTGGCGCCAGAAAAATGTCGATGGGGGCTGTGCTCGGAGCCCCCAGGACTAGGGGCTTGGGGGTGGATCTGAGGGCCTCCTCATTTTGGGGGCTGGGTTTAGAGTCTCTGCTGGATCTAGTTTTTTTATGTTAACCCTCATAATTTGTTTAGGGACTGGGTTTAAGGTCCCTGCTGGAGATGCTGAAAAGATATATAATGAACATATATTAATCAACTATTAACTACTACAATTAAAATTGATTTATTTGATCTTTTTTAAAAACTTTTACATAAAATTTTATTGTATTAAAACACACGGCTTAGCAAAATTAGGAAGCGTGCTCATAAAAAATACTGTAAGGAAAAAAAAAAGAAGTCAAGAACCAGCTATCGACTCAAAATTCAATGAGAGAACGTGATCAATCGAAAAACTTCACCCCTCTATCAAAGTCCTCGCAGACCTTGACGTGCCGGGCCACGTCCTCCTTGTCGACGACGGCGGCCATCTCCCGGCACTCCGCCTCGCCCACCCGCGGCGGCGTGAGGTTGCACGGCTCCATGGACACGGCTCGCCGGCACGGCGGCGCGGGGACCCTGTGGCCGTGCGCGGGCATCAGGATCGTCGGCCGCACGCCCGCGAGGCTGCTGCCCACGTACCCGAACGTCGACATCCCGGACGTGACGAGCTCGTCGGAGAACCCCAGCAGGAGGATCTCCGCCAGCGCCTTCTGGTTGTGGAACAGCCTCTGCGTCGCCTGCCTCTCCTCGTGCGTCGGCTGGAACACCCCCACCCTCACCCTTCCCCTCGTCGCGTGCTCGTAGTACGTCGCCCGGATCCTCTCGTAGTAGTCCGGGTACAGCGACGCGATCAGGATGGCCGAGTAGTTGCCGCCACCGCTGCCATTGCTGCTGTTGCTGTCGTACGCCGTGGCAAGATCGTCGTCGTTGTCGTTGTCGGTGGTGGTTTCCGGTAGAACGTGTTCTTGGCGGGAGCAGGTGAGGATCTGATTGTAGAGGTCGTCGACGGGGATGGAGGCGAAGTTGAACATCCTGATCTGGACGCCGATGCGGCGGCTTGCCTGGGCTAGGTAGGAGTTGTAGTAGCGTGTCACCATGCCCCACACGGCGTTGGTCGGGTGGAGGAGGTAGCGGGCGAGGAGGTGGCACGCGCTCTCCTTCGCCGGGAACAGCCGCCGGAGCTCGCCGTTGAACTCGGCGACGGAGTAGAGCGACGGGACGAAGTAGAGGTCGCTGTACAGCAGCAGCCAGTTCACCTTGGCGAGCGCGCGCTGGTCGTCGCCGCAGAAGAAGAGCTTGTCCGCCATCTGGTACCCTAGGCTCAGGTACACGTACGCCGGCGGCGGCGGCAGCGCGGCCGTGGCGTTCTTTGATGCCGGGTCGTCGTCGTTGTTGACGACGGCGGTGATCTTCTTCTTGTTCAGGAGGGTCGTGTACGACTGCTCGGGCCTCGGCCCGAGGCCGAAGAGGTTGGCGACGGGGAAGTCCGGCGGGAGCAGCCATGTCGCGCCGGGGAAGGGCTCGCAGAAGAGGTCGGAGGAGTCATGGGGCAGGTCGACGAGGAGGACGCGGTCGGTGAGGAGCGCGTAGAGGAAGCCGCTCACCATGGACAGCATGCGGTTGCCGAGGCCGTCGAAGGGGAGCCAGACGACGTAGTTGCACTCCACGCCGCCGGCGCTGCGGCCGGACCGGAGCTGCTCGACGGAGCGGTTGTACAGCGGCGTCCCCGGCGCGCACCTCCGGTGCCGAGCCTCGTAGGCGCGCAGCTTGTCCAGGAGGTGCGGCGACGGCGCGTAGGGGAAGTGCTTGTAGTAATGCGCCGCCTGGTACCGGCTCCGGCACGACCGCCGGTCCATGCCCGGCGCCAGCAGCCCGCCGAGGAGCTCGTCGGCATGCTTGGCGGCGCCACCGCCATGAGAAGGGTTTTTCGTCGTAAACCCTCCGTTCATCGCGGACAGCTTGGAGCTCGCGATCTGCAGAACCTCCGACGCGCTCTCCCGCCCGAGGACGAAGAACGCGAAGAGGAGCAGCGCCACCAGGCAGCCGACGACCAGCACCCGTCGCCACCGCTCCTTCTCCTCCCTCCTCGGCGCGCCGCCGCCGCACGGCTCCCGCTCCGCCGCCACAGCCGCAGCGTCGTCGTGCTCCAGCTTTGTCGGCACGCCTCCCGCTCCGGCGCCGCTCATCTCCATCGTCGATGCACCACCACCACTGCACGTTCGCGCATGGCCGATCGGGAGCGGCCGCGTCGAGGCTTAATTTTGTACTAAGTTGGCGCTTGAGTTGCCGTTCATTAGCGTCGCACCGTGTATTGAAGATCGCGGCACGATCCGGCCGTGAAGTTGACTTGGCAGGTATATTTTGTTTGCGTATCAAGCTAGATCGAGCATGAATTCAACGAGTTCGATCGCGAGGACTAGTAGGAGCATGTAACGTAGAAGTATGTTTGTACCAAATAAATCAGGACCACTTTTAAGCTTTGTTTAGTTACCTGCATCGGTAATAAAGCTGACGTTGCCGTCACGTTTCTTCTTCAAGTTGGCATGTTTTCAAATTATTTATTGTTAAACTTTGTTTAATCAAATATTTTAATTGTTTTTTGAAATATATTTTTAACTTTGATGATCAGTTTACATATAGTGTTAATATCGTAAGATTCATGTTTTTAGTTCACCGTAAGAATACTTTCATATTACATATAAGTCATATGTTGTTAATCTATTGAAATTGATGATCAAATTGGCAACTTTTAATTTATGAAAACTATAACGGCTAACAGTTTAAAACTAAGGGATACTAGGTTTATTATTCGTCTAAGTTGCTTTCATTGAATAATAGGACTCTAGGAGTAGTTGAGACTTAAGAACTTTGACTGCGGTGTGCAGGAGTTACTTGAGCGAGTTTAATACTACAACCAAATGTTATCCTTTTCTTTTGTGTTCTCTCTCTATCACATATACTTGTAGATTGGTATATAGTCTGCTATCGCACCTAATTTAATAGCTAAGCGTCGTATGTAGATGTGAGCAGCCTACAGACCGAACCAGCATATGTATTCAACCGTGCGCAATTAAGTATAGAAACTGGAAGTTTTGTAACTTCCTCTCTACTAAAAGTGACGCCTCATTATAAAAAAATATTGAGCATTAATTTTACGGTTACTATATTTTGTCGACGGAAAAGAAATGCGAAATTACATATAGCTGTACCTGCTCCTCTGACGATCAGGAAAGTGCATGTTATAGCGTGAGATGCATGCATCTTGACTACAAATCAAACTAGATGTTTAACCCAATTAATTAAATTCTTTCTGACGTTAGATGGAATGGCAGACTGCTGCCATTTCAATTCAGTCATACTCCCCTCTTTTTTAAATGATAATGCTGTTATTTTTAAACGGGTGTTTAATCATTTATCTTATTAAAAACTTTTATGTAAATGTATAAGATATAAATCATGCTTAAAATATTTTGAGTGGTAAAAAATCTTACAACAAAATAAATTATAATTACGTAATTTTATAGAGTAAATTTCACAAAACTACATATTTTATGGTTCAAGTTGCAGAAAACCACACATATTTTGACACTTGGCACTTAAGTATATATATTTTGGTAGTTTAGTTTCACAAAACCACACTATCGATGAATGGATTCACTTGTGATATGACGACGTGGTTGTTGCATCTAGTATGAGGACGTGGCATCATATTAATTTCGTGCAATGGCTAGTAATAGGATGCCATGTCCTCGTCCTAGGTGAAACAACCACATCATCTCGCGGGTGAATCTATACATCGATAGTATAGTTTTGTGAAACTACACGACCAAAATATATGTACTCAAGTGCCAAGTGTCAAAGTGCGTGTTGTTTTCTATAACTTGGACCACAAAATATGTAGTTTTGTGAAATTTACTCAATTTTTTAATAAGACGAATTTGGTCAAGCGTGTGATAAAAAAGTTAACGGTGTCATCTATTAAAATACAAAGATGATGCTCTGCTATGCTTAAGAAAGTCACATTCTGAAAGGGCTAACACTAACTAATTAAGGCATTGCCACGAAGTTCAGAGTCTTCAGACTACAGACCTGCAGATGACAAGGCTGAAATCCACTTGATAGCAAAGTGTAGGGTCACCAAGAGAATATGGAAGAAATTCAAAGGTGGATCAACACAGATCTATAAATGGATAAGTGAGACGACTGTCACTCAATAGAGCATTGGTGGAATCTAGTGTTGGAATCCCAAACACCCTCCGCCGTAATCCTAGGTTCTTAGGAAATTTGGTGCGAGCGAAATGCTAGAATTTTTCGCTAGAAAGCATCAATACCAAGCACAATATTAGCCAAGATCACAGAGGAAGCTAGTGTATGGGTGAAGGTAAGAGCTCTTAGACTCCAAGAGTTCGGAATTTTGGGAGACATCACCTAAAGATTTTCCTTCCCCAGGGCCATTTTTAGCTCTTTTGACAGACCTATACATATTTTCTGCGTATACTTTTACTCCCTCTCTATTAATATACGAGGCAAAGCTTTTTTCCTCCTTTTAAAAAAAATAAAATAAAAACAAGGCTGAAACGAGAACGTTCGCGCCAGCCCAACCGCGCGCGAACAAGTTTTTCTCCATTTTTTTTACCTCTTTCGGATTCAGCCTGCTCCTTCTTTCCTTTTTCAACCCAAACAAGTGAACTTTTGCAGGTATATGTTTCTTTTAGGACACATGGTCTCCGCCGGAAAATTAACCAAGACCAATCACGTGCTATGGAAGGCGGTGAAGCTCATATGGCAGGATTCCTCAACGGTGAAGCGCTGCGGCCGAATCGGAGCTGCTCGACGGAGCGGTTGCACAACGGCGTCCCCAGGGTGCACGTACCTTCAGTGCCGAGCCTCGTAGGCACGCAACTTGTACAGGAGGCGTGGTGACGATGCGTATGAGAAATGTGAGGCAATCTACTGATACCATATAATGGCCTTGCACCAGTGGTCTGAGTGTGCACGGAATTAAAGGTTATGGATTTAGCTCTGATACCACTTGTTGTTCTAACCGAGGGAAAGCCTTGATATACACCCTAAAAGTTAGCTCAAGGTGAGAAACTCGTTTACTTTTAAGTTAGTTCAAATCTCTCCAAATAACCAGCGTGGGACTATTCCCAACACCCTCTCTGGAGCCCCCTATCTCCATAGTCGATGCACCGGCCGGCCACCATCACCACCTCTGCACGTACGTACGTACACGCGCGCATGGCTGGCGACCGGAGCAGCAGCTGCGTCGAGGCTTTTGTACTACGTTGGGCTCGCGGCGTGATCCAGCCTTGAGGTTGCAACTTGGCAGCTATATTTCGTTTGCGTGTCAAGCTAGATCGAGCTTCTGAATTCGACGAGTTCGAGGACTAGGACTCTAGGAGAGCATCATGTACGTTTGAATTAACTTTGGTTAGTTAATTACTTGAATTGGTAATAAAGCTGTACATTGATGGTATTAGCTGCAATGGCCAGCTAGCACTTAGCAGGTTGCTTCTTCAAGTTGGCCTGTACTAGGTTGAGGATGTTCTTTCCAAATTATATATGAGAGTTGCTTTAAAAAAATCATATTAATCTATTTTTTTTAAAAGAATTAATAATTAATTAATAATGTGTTAATGAATCATTCCGTTTTACGGGTCGAAGGGATTAGTTTCCAACACTAGAAAAAGAACACAACCTGATTATTCGCCTCAGTCTCTTTCAGTCACTGAATAATTGGAGTAGTTGAGACTTGCGAAAATAATTTGACCGCGTTACAGGAGTTATAACTTCCAAATTCCAACAGGCGTATGCAGATGCGCAGCCCACAAATCGAACCAGCAAACGGATTCACAATTGATTAACGCGGCCGCCACCCCTTCGTGCTAGAAACCGGAAGTTCCGCAAATTTCCTCTTTAGAGAAAGTGACGCCTCAATAGAAACAAAAGTATATTAACTATCGATTTTTATTCTGTCGACATAATATAAAAGGGAAATTATGTACAAAACTGACAAGCAGGAAGCATGCATGTTAGCGTGAGATGCATCTGAATACAAATCAAACTAGCTGTTCAACCTATATATGATATATCCAGACTTTTTTTCAGATTCATACGCACACCTAATTAAATTCTTTATTACGTTAGATTAATTTTTTTAAGATAATTTTTCTGACGTTAAATGGCTAGGCAGAGTGCTGCCATTTCAATTGAGTCATCCGTGACGCTCATAGCCTTAAGACGGTCAGTGATTCCGAAACACGTACTAATTAACTAAAGCCATTGCCACCAGGAAGTTCAGATCACAAGAAGAATTAACCAGCGTTCTAAATCACTAACCACATATGCGACGATCCTGCAAACTAAACAAACGTGTTTACTAAAGCTGGAACTGAACCCTAGCTGAAGTCAATTTTTCAGGAAACCACGGCGCTTGTCCAATCATATACCTTCGTTAATCCTGATTGGGTTACTAAGCATGTGTTTAGTTTCGGGACTAGGATGGGATGGGATGAAACCATCCCTAATTTTAGGGTTGGGATAATTCCACTCACATGTTTGGTTTGTAGGATGGGACAATCCTAATTTTTTGTTTGGTTGAAGGGATGAGGGAGAGATGGGATGGACGCTGTTTGTCATCATCGTCAACGACCGTCGACTGCGCCATCTGCATCCACGCGTGGAACAACCGGATCAAGCACAGCGGCAACAGCAGGACGGCCACCACCGCCGGAGCACCCAACCCGCTGGCCCACCGTCGTCGCCGCGGCTGGATCGGGAGATCCCCTGCGCCAGATCCGCCGCCGCCGCTCTCCCTACCTCCAAGTTTCGCTGCCGCCGAGTCCCCATCCTCTGGATCCGCCGCCGCCGCCCTCCCTACCTCCAAGCTTCGCCGCCATTCGAGCCCGCCGCATCGACATCACCGCAGCCGCTCTCGTCGAGCATCGCGATGAGCGGCGGGATGGCGCAGAGCATCTCGCTCGTGGCGGCGACCGGTGTTGAGGCAGGGGGTCGTGGAGGAGCGTCGGCGGTCGTGGAGGTGGTGGCAGGCGGTCGTGGCGGAGCGCCGGCGGTCATAGAGGAGGCGGCGGGCGCGGGCGCGGACGAGCGCCGGCGATCGCCGAGGAGACGCCGTGCCACGACCGCCGGCGGTCACGTAGAAGGCGGCGGGCGTGGGCGCGGACGAGCGCCGGCGGTCGCCGAGGAGACGCCGTGTGCTCCGTCCAAGTGGGACGAGCTCGTCCGACCGATTTTGCCGGATGGGTTTGTCCCGGATCTGGGAGGAATATTCCTTTATAGGGGCCAACCCATCCCACTCGCTCCTCAACCAAACACCTCTCAAAATGGGTTCGTCCCATCCCATCCCATCCTATCCCACAAACCAAAAACTACCTAAGACCCTCCATCCCACATCGGGCTTTACTTTCTCCTTTCTTTCCCTCGGCGTACTGAACAGGCCCATTTGAACGTGCGG